AAAAATAAAAAATAAATAAATTTAAAAAAAAGATTTAAACATAAAACCTAACACCATAAAAACACTAGAAGAAAACATAAGCAAAACCATTCAGAACATAGGCATAGGCAAGGACTTCATGACTAAAACACCAAAAGCATTGGCAACAAAAGCCAAGATAGACAAACGGGATCTAATTAAACTTCAGAGCTTCTGTGCAACAAAAGAAACCATCATTTGAGCGAACTGGCAACCAACAGAATGGGAAAAAATTTTTGCAATCTACCTATCTGACAAAGGGCTAATATCCAGAATATACAAAGAACTAAAACAGATATACAAGAAAAAAACAACCCCATTCAAAAGTGGGTGATGGATATGAACAGACACTTATCAAAAGAAGACATATATGAAGCCAACAAACATATGAAAAAATGCTTGTCATCACTGGGCATCGGAGAAATGCAAATCAAAGCCACATTGAGATACCATCTCACACCAGTTAGAATGGTGATCATTAAAAAATCTGGAGACAATAGATACTGGAGAGGATGAGAAACAGAAACACTTTTACACTGTTGGTGGGAGTGTAAATTCATTCAGCCATTGTGGAAGACAGTGTGGCAGCTTGTCAAGGATCTAGAAATAGAAATTCCATTTGACCCAGCAATCCCATTACTGGGTATATACCCAAAGAACTATAAATCATTCTACTATAAAGACCCATGTGTTCATTGCAGCCCTGTGTACAATAGCAAAGTCCTGGAACCAACCCAAATGCCCATCAATGATAGACTGGACAAAGAAAATGTGGCACATATACACCATGGAATACTGTGCAGCCACAAAAAACGATGAGTTTGTGTCCTGTTTAGGGACTTGGATGAATCTGGAAACCATCATTCTAAGCAAACTGACACAAGAACAGAAAACCAAACACCACATGTTCTCCCTCATAGGAGGGTGTTGAACAGTGAAAACACATGGACTCAAGGAGAGAAGCATCACATGCTGGGGGCAGTTTGGGGGGGTAGCGGAGGGATGTGGGGTGGGGAAGGTGGGGAGGGATAACATGGGGAGAAATGCCAGATATAGTATACACCTAAAGTAAAATTAAAAAAAAAAAAAAAAGACAAAGAGGGACATTATATGATGGTAAAAGGCTTTTTCCAACAGAAAAATATCCCAGTCCTAAACATATATGCACCTAACACTAGAGCTCCCAAATTTATAAAACAGTTACTAATAGATCTAAGAAATAAGATAGAAGCAACACAGTAATCGTGGGGGACTTCAATACTCCACCGACAGCACTAGACAGATCATCAAGACAGAAAGCCAACAAAGAAACAATGGATTTAAACTATACCCTAGAACAAATGAACTTAACAGATATATACAGAATGTTCCATCCAACAACTGCAGAATATACATTCTATTCAACAGCACATGGAAACTTTCTCCAAGATATATTATATAAAAAGACCACAAAATGAGCCTCAATAAAGCTTTAAAAACTGAAAATATTATTATGATTATTTTATTTTTTGAGATGGAGTCTTGCCCTATCACCCAGGCTGGAGCGCAGTAGCACAATCTTGGCTTACTGCAACCTCTGCCTCCCAAGTAGCTGGGATTACAGTCATGAGCCACCGTGCTCATGACTGTATTTTCTGTATTTTTAGTAGAGATAGGGTTTCACCATGTTGGCCAGGCTGATCTTGAACTCCTGAGCTTAGGGGATCTGCCCACCTCAACCTCCCAAAGTGCTGGGATTACAGGCGTGAGCCACTGAGTGTGGCCTAGAAAACTGAAATTATATATCAAGCACTCTCTCAGATCATAGTGGAATAAAACTGGAAATCAATTCCAAAAGGAACCTTTGAATCCATGCAAATACATGGAAATTAAATAATCTCCTCCTGAATCATCATTGGATCAATAATGAAATAAAGATGAAAATTCAAAAATTCTTTTAACTGAGTAACAACAGTGACACAACCTATCAAAATCTCTGGGATACAGAAAAGGCAATACTACGAGAAAGTCATAGCCCTAAACACCTACATCTAAAAGTCTGAAACAGCACAGACAATCTAAGGTCACACCTCAAAGAATTAGAGAAACAAGAAAAAACCAAACTCAAACCCAGTAGAAGAAATAACCAACATCAGAGCAGAACTAGATGAAACTGAAACAAAACAATAAAAAAGATAAATGAAACAAAAAGGTGGTTCTTTAAAAAGATAAATAAAATTAATAGACCATTAGCAAGACTAACCAAGAAAAGAAGAGAGAAAATCCAAATAACCTCACTAAGAAATGAGACAGGAGATATTACAACTGACACCACAGAAATACAAAAGGTCATTCAAGGCTTCTATAAACACCATTTCACACATAAACTAGAGAACCTAGAGGAGATGGATAAATTCCTAGAAAGATACAACTCTTCTAGCTTAAATCAGGAAGAATTAGATAACCTGAATAGACCAATAACAAGCAGAGAGATTGAAATGGTAATTAAAATATTACCAACACAAAAAAGTCCAGGACCAGACTAATTCGCAGCTGAATTCTACCAGACATTCAAAGGAGAATTGGTACCAAGCCTACTGACACTATTCCACAAGGTAGAGAAAAAGGGAACCCTCCCTAAATCATTCTATGAAGCCAGGATCACCCTAATACCAAAAGCAGGAAGGGATATAACCAAAAAAGAAAACTATAGACCAATATCCCTGATGAACATAGATACTAAAATTCTTAGCAAAATACTACTAACTGAATCCAACAACATATCAAAAAAAATAATTCACCATCAGCAGGTGGGTTTCATACCAGGATGCAGGAATGGTTTAATATGTGCAAGTCAATAAATGTGATACATCACATAAACAAAATTAAAAACAAAAATCACACGATCATCTCAATAGATGCAGAAAAAGCATTCAACAAAATCTAGCATCCTTTATGATTAAAACTCAGCAAAATCGACATACAAGGAACATGCCTAATGAAATAAAAGCCATCTATGACAAACCCACAGCCAACATAATACTGAATGGGGAAAAGTTGAAAGCATTCCCTCTGAGAACTGGAATAAGACAAGGATGCCCACCCTCACCACTCCTCTTCAACACAGTACTGGAAGTCCCAGCCAGAGCAATCAGAAAAGAGAAAGAAACAAAGGGCATCCAAATCCATAAAGAGGAAGTCAAACTGTCTCTGTTTGCTGATGATATGATTGTATACCAGAAAACCCTAAAGATTCCTCCAGAAAGCTCCTTAAACTTATAAAAGAATTCAGCAAAGTTTCTGGATACAAAATTAATGTACACAAATCAGTAGCTCTTCTATACATCAATAACTACCAGGCTGAGAATCAAATCAAGAACTTAACCCCTTTTATAATAGCTGAAAAGCAAACAAACAAAGAAACAAAATAACTTAGGGTTATACCTAACCAAGTAGGTAAAAGACCTCTACAAGGAAAACTACAAAACACTGCTGAAATAAATCACAGATGACATAAACAAATGGAAATATATCCCATGCTCATGAATGGGTAGAATAAATATTGTGAAAATGACCATACTGCCAAAAGCAATCTACAAATACAACACAATTCCCATCAAAATAGCACTATCATTCTTCGCAGAATTAGAAAAAAATCCCAAAATTCATAAAACCAGAAAAGAGCCCATATAGCCAAAGCAAGACTAGGAATCAAAAAAAAAAGGCCATATAGCCAAAGCCAGGCTAAGCAAAAAGAATACATTTGCAGGCATCACAATACCTGATTTCAAACTATACTTTAAGGCCACAGTCACCAAAACAGCATGGTACTGGTATAAAAATAGGCACATAGACCAATGGAACAGAATAGAGAACCCAGAAATAAACTCAAATACATATAGCAAATTGATCTTCGACAAAGCAAACAAAAACATAAAGTGGGGAAAGGACACCCTATTCAACAAATGGTGCTGGGATCATTGGCTAACCACATGTAGGAGAATGACACTGGATCCTCATCTCTCACATGAAAATTAACTCAAGATGGATTATGAACTTAAATCTGAAACCTAAAACTATAAAACTTCCAGAAATAATATTGGAAAACTCCATGTAGACACTGGCTTAGGCAAGGATCTCATGACCAAAAACCCAAAAGCGAATGCAATAAAAACAAAGATAAATAGCTGGGACTTAATTAAACTAAAGATCTTTTGCATGGCAAAAGGAGCAGTCAGTGGAGTAAACGGACAACCCACAGAGTGGAAGAAAATCTTCACACTCTACACATCTGACAAAGGACTAATATCCAGAATCTACAATGAACTCAAACAATTCATCAAGAAAAAACCAAACAATCCCATCAAAAAGTGGGCTAAGGACATGAATGGACAATTCTCAAAAGAAGATATACAAATGGCCAACAAACATTAAAATAATGCTCACCATCACTAATGATCAGGGAAATACAAATAAAAATCTCTGATCTGCAAAGCCCTTGATCCACTAGTTTTGTAACCACTAGTTACAAAAGAGTCTGGCAATCCATCTCCGTAGAGGGGGCGGGCACTTCATTTCCTGATAGTCATGCCACTTCTTGCTAGATGTCTTCCTTACTGTCCACAGTTTACTGTTTTTCCAGATTTATCAAGAGTGGAACCTAGGATGATGTGTTCTCCTCTCCCCATCAGAATCTTTTCAAACCAAACCACCACTTTGGGGAAAAGCATTGTTAACTGATTATTGGATCATATGGTAGTTCTACTTTTATGAGGATCTATAAACATTTTAAAAATGAGAAAACTAGGTAAGTAATTTAATCCCAAGGTCACAAAACACAGAAGTCACAAACCTGTGACAGCGCGCCTCCTATCATACCATACAGCCTTCCTACCTCAAGCATAATCAAAATATGCCCTAGAATTAACTAAGTACACACACTGCAAATGCAACAGAAACAATACTTGGAGCTGGATGTGAGTTGTTTACATGTATCATATTACCTATTATGCCGAAATGCATCACTGCTTCCTTCGGAAGTCTCACTGAGTCCCACAGAGCGCCCTTGGGAAAATAAATAAGTGAAATTCATGAGCTCAAAACACATACTTACATAAAAATGATCTCTAAAGGCTTAGTTCTAACCAGGAATCGAGCATCATTACCTCAGCACTGTCTATATAAAAAGTGATACTCTGACTTCCTAGGTTGAAGTCGATCCAAAATTTCTCTAAGCTTTCATCCTCTGGTTTTCTCATCTGTAAGAGATAATTTCAGCATGAATTATACACTCAAAAATCATGCTAAAGGGTCAGTTAAACATTATTCCCTTAAAAATAGAATTTGGGCTTTTCCTGGAACAGTATTATCCTAACATTACAGGCCCTCTCTTTATTGACTGACTCCTTTGTGCAAAACGGAATAATCTCAGTTTTATAGAACTCAGCCATTTCTCCTCACCCCTCCAAAAATCCCCCTATCCGTAGCATATTTAATAGATATTTAAATGTGTCACATGATTCTATCCATGCAATTTCTTTTCTAGTGAAAGTCACAGAGAAAACAGTTCTATGTTGAATCAGTAACAATCCACACTACATACGGATGGAAACTTCTAGAGAAGGAGATACTGTGACCAAACATGAGTGATTTGCCATCTACCTTTCATCCATTAGAGTAAAGCCAAGACTTGAAGACTTCAAATTTCCTTCATTTTAATTATTATGAAATAAATATATGTTTATGGTTAAAACAGAAGGAAAAAATTCTAACAGTATGGTAATTGATAAAAACAGTAAACATCTTCTCTATCCCTCAGCTTTTCATAGGTACCTTTCCATAGGCACCATTAACAATGCCTTTTCTTCCTCCCAGATGTTTTCTAGACATATATCAAGAAATATATATAAAGATATTATTTCCCAACAATAGATAAAACACTAGACTCACTTTTCTACAACCTGATTTTCCAATAAGTTGTACTTCTTGGACATCTTTCCTTTGCATCATATATGTCTATCTTTTAATAGCTACAGAGGTGAATGAGGACTTTCACCCACAATACATGTTCCTGGAAGCCAGTGTGAGGGTCAGTGTAAGGGCCCTAATGAAAGTGAATGGAAATTTGGATGTCACAGAAAGAAGGAAAACCAAGCAGAGAGCAGAATCCTCAGACAACCAGGGGGAAAATACACAGAATTAAGGCACAGGAATCAGCCTACCAGAATCAGTTCTAGAGAGAAGGAATGTGTAGTGTAGCCAGGAATTGACAGCTTAGCTTAGAGAGGCCAAGAAGGGGACTCTGGACTCAAAGCAATGGTGAAAGAGGACATTCTGAAGACAGGGTCCAGGAAACCCGAACAAAGTCAAGGTTCCAAGACCTATAAATATTTTAGCCTGAAACTGAGATACTGTAGGATGAGGCTCTTTTATATGAAGGACCTTGTTCCTCTAGAAACCAAATTGTGGGGGTGGGAAAAGACACTGGCCAACCTTGGGCTATAAGTGCAAGGTAGAATGAGCTAGAGAGAAAGGAAACTGGCCTCAAGTGTTGCGAATAAGAGGGAAAGGCATAAACTAGAAGGAAAGCAGCAAGGAAATCATCCTTTTGACCCCAGTCTAGGCAATAATTATGTCACCCATGAATAGGGTAAAATGAGGCAAGCTTCCTGTAACTGTCCTCATGTGTACAGTACAGACCCTCAAATTCCTTTTTCCAGTAGTAATAGTAGAGCCCTTAAACTTACTGGTAATGCATTCTGGTTAGGGTACGGTATGATCGGTTTGAGAACTGAGGTCACTAGAAGGAGAAGTTAGCATCCTTTTTAAAATGCCCTTTGGAGTTATGAGAGCAGAAGTCTAACCTAACCATATAACCTAACCTAACCTCTGGTTTCACTGCACACCACCCTCAGGCTCTCCAAAAGAGGGGAACATACCTCACGTTCATCAGCAAAAGCCGCGAGACACGGAAATGAATACACCCTGCAAAATATCTCACAATTAAAAAATAAAATATGGATGAACTTTAAACACATCTACAGATGTTCTGCAACAAGCACTTCTAACTAGAGTCTGCCATTAAGTCTCCTCCTACAGAGTATGGTAACGGGTTTCAAGCCTGCAAATGGAGATCTACTATGGGTAGATTTCAGATCTCCATCTGGCAGTCAATAAGCCAAGTTTACTAGTACTGTATCTCAACCCAGTTACTCGGTGGTTGAATTTAGCAAATATTGTCTGACCAAGGACTTAACTGTTCATGATACAACTACCTCCAGCAACCTCAAGTCAGGAAATGGTTCTTCATAAAATCTATGGATTCTCTAAAGAATGTGTTATTTTAAAATACCCCAAATCACAAACAGAATAAAACTGATAGAGTTTTTCTTTTTTTTTTNTGAGTGTTTCTTTGACTTTCTTTTTTTATTATTATAGATTTATTTATTATTTATTTTTGAGATGGAGTCTCACTCTGTCACCCAGGCCGGAGTGCAGAGGCATGATCTCAGTCACTGCAACCTCTGCCTCCCAGGTTTAAGCCATTCTCCTGCCTCAGCTTCCTGAATAGCTGGGATTACAGGTGCTAATTTGTTTTGTATTTTTTTTTGTATTGTTAGTAGAGATAGGGTTTCACCATGTTGGTCAGGCTGGTCTTGAACTCCTGACCTCGTGATCTGCCTGCCTCAGCCTCCTAAAGTGCTGGGATTACAGACGTGAGCCACCACTCCCGGCCAATAGAGATAATTTTTAAACACCCTCCAACAAGCCACTAGGCAGAAAGGGTCTGATACTCTCAAGTTGCTACTCAAGGGACAACTGAGTATGGTCTGTAAATGACATGCCCAATATTCTCTCCAAACACACCCTAAACTGTTATTTTAAAAGATTAGACATTTTCAGAATACAGCTAGTCAATAATGCTCAGAGACACAACTTACCTTCTTTGGTCACCAAGTCTGTTGTTTAGGTGATTGAGAAAACGTCTACTGTCCTTCAAAGCAAATGATACAAAATATTTTATTTTAAAAAAAAATCAAGATGTCTTAGTTAATACAACCTTAGCATATAGAGGCCTGTGTTTGCTTCTAAATGTCCAGGATGCAGTCACGTGAATGAGGCTTTACAAGGATTTGTTATTACATGTTAACAATACTTTATGCCACCAAGAGGAGGCTCCAGGATCATGTTTCCAGAAGAAAACTCTGCTCCCTGCAGCCATTAGATTTTCAGCTGAGGAATATACTCAGGTCTTCAAAAGATAAATACCTGGTTGTGTTTCACTGGGTCAGAAGAGTAAGCAAGATAAATACATCTTACTGATGACCCAGGTTACAAGATTTGACCAACCCATTGGGCACCCATCTCCCTAACACCTGCACAGCACAAACCAACCGCAAACCTATAAAATGTATCAACTTTGGGTTGATCTGGGTGTGTTATCTATTGCCAATTTAAGTTCTTTGTTTCATTCTCTATCCCTTTCCCTTCTCTGTTCCCCTCCCTTCTCCTAGCATATGTTCTAAGAACAAAGACTATTATTAGAGCTCTAACCAACAGCTCTCAGGAAGAAATTTGTTACCCCAACATTCTAAAAACAAAGAGACACAGATCCAAGTTTTTGTTCCCTTTTGTTAGCAAGAATTGGCTGTTGGAATCAGCATTCCTTATGCTCCTGATGTACCATTCAGCAGTAAAGAGACATCAGCAGTGTGAGCCTTTCATGTAAAAGCAATTCAGTTGAGAATTGGATAGCTCTGGAGAAGGAAACGATTTTAGAAACAACAAAATTACACTTCTCTATTTTCATCAAATTTCCCTGCAAATGAGAAATGAAAAGGAGCAGAAAAGAAATTAACATGTGAATGCCTACAACAGCCCTCGACCTTTCAGTTTCCCTCAATGAGTCCTCATGAATTTGAGATAGGCTTTAGTCCCATTTTACAGATGAGGTCACTCAGGCGTCACAAGTCAACTATGTTGTCAAAATGTGTACATCCCAATAAATTGGAGAGGTGGGGCTCAAACTCGAGGCTCAGCCCCAGTTTGGAATAGCCCCAAAGCTCACAGTCTTTCCATTGAGATTATACAAAATATAATGGCTAAATAATTACTATATGCAGCATATGATAATAGGCTTAGAATCTGAGGAAATAGGTCCATGGTTAATAAAAATCCTGGATTCATAGCAATTTTGACCAGAAAGGTTTTGTCAAGACACATGAGTACTGTTATTAAGAATTTTGCCTTTTCCTACAACAGTCTAACACTTTTTTTTTTTAAGACAGAGTCTCGCTCTGTCACCCCAGGCTGGCGTGCAATCGCACGATCTCAGCTCACTGCGGCCTCCGCCTCCCGAGTTCAAGTAATTCTCCTGCCTCGGCCTCCTGAGTAGCTGGGATTACTGGCACGAGCCACCACACCTGACTAATTTTCATATTTCTTGTAGAGATGCAGTTTCACCACGTTGGCCAGGCTGGTCTCAAACTCCTGACATCGTGATCCGCCCGCCTCGGCCTTCCAACGTGCTGAGATTACTGGCGGGAGCCATTGCGCCCGGCCCCTAACCCTCATTTTTAACATCTTTTAAAAGAAGAGGGAAAATGTTTTAGCTATTTTAGGATGAAGGTGAATACACAACAAAGCCATAAGCTTTTTTTTTTTTGTGAGGCTTGAGGACACAATTACAAGAAGCCCAGGTTGCAGAGACGACACGGAAAAGTACTGTTTCTCCACATGGCAGAGGCCAGATGGCTCAGAACACAACCACCCCATAATATTCCTCTGCCGGGCCATGTCCATCTCAGCCTCCTGCCATCACAGCAGCTGCCTTCTGCAGGACAAAAATGCCCTAATTTCTTCTTCAAGTCTCCCTATCCTTCAATGTCCATTGAAAACTGCTCACTCTTGCAAGACATCTTTTTTAACTGGATTCATCAAATTCACCTAGTTCTGTCTCCCAAAAAGAAGTCCTGGTCAGGGACTCACGCCTATAATTCCAGCACTTTGGGAGGCCAAGGTGGGTGGATCGCCTGAGGTCAGGAGTTGGAGATCAGACTGGCCATCATAGCTAAACCCGGTCTCTAATAAAAATAAAACATTAGCTAGGTGTGGTGGCAGGCATCTGTAATCCCAGCTACTCAGGAGGCTGAGGCAGGAGAATCACTTGAACCTAGGAGGCGGAGGTTGCAGTGAGCTAAGATTGCACCACTGTACTCCAGCCTGGGCAACAGAATAAGACACTGTCTCAAAAAAAATAAAAGTCCTATCTGTATCCCCACATCTAGTTCACAAATACTCTGTTCATATTGCCTTCAAATTGTTTACCTTAAGTGGGAAACAAGAAGTTTAAGGATAGTAATGTAATCACACTTGAGCAAAAAATCCTCCCCTAAGCCCAACGCACAGCAAAGTTTTGAAAGGGTGCTTAATAAATATTGGCTAAACAGAAATTTGCATGACCAGGAATCTCACCGTCTCAAATTCTCGACCCTTAATTTCTTTGAAAGCTTCAGCAATGACTTCATCATCAAACCATTTATGGACAAGATCATCCCTTGAATTTTTAATTGTCAGTCTACACAGCGCTTCAGTAATAGCGACCTGCTGGTCGTAATCTAGAGATTAAAAACATGGTAGACATAAATAATTCTGGGCACAAAGCAAAAGAAAAAATGAGTTCCAGAGTTAGCACTTGCTCTAAGAAACTCCACCTGAGAATCCTAGCATTGTGCCTTAGCGGTATCCACAGCAAGATGCATCCTAGTGTAACTAGAATCTTTTTTTTTTTTTTTTTTCTTAAGAGAGAGTGAGTCTCACTCTGTCACCCTGGAGGGCAGTGGTGGTTGGAGTGTGGTGGCCCAATCTCAACTCACTGCAACCTTTGCCTCCTGGGTTCAAGTGATGCTCCTGCCTCAGTCTCCCAAGAAGCTGGAATTACAGGCATATGTCACCATGCCTGGCTAATTTTTATATTTTTTAGTACAGACAGGGTTTTGCCATGTTGGTCAGGCTGGTCTTGAACTTCTGGGTTCAAGCAATCTGATCACCTCGGCCTCCCAAAGTGCTGGGATTATAGGTGTGGCAACCCCGCCCAGCCACAATCATTTAAATTCAATATTTAAGAAATACAATAGGCCGGGTGTGGTGGCTCATGCCTGTAATCCAAGCACTTTGGAGGCCAAGGTGGGCGGATCACCTGAGATCGGGAGTTCAAGACCAGCCTGACCAACATGGTGAAACCCGGTCTTTATTTAAAAAAAAGAAAAAAAAAGAAATACAATAAAAATCTAAACAAGAGGTTGGCATATAACAATTTTTAAATAAATAATATTTATGGATGTTATATTTTAGATATATTAAAATAGTCATCCAAAGCAAATCATCCAACAGCCTTAAAAATGTTTCTACTGGCCAGGCATGGTAGCTCATGCCTGTAATCCCAGCACTTTGGGAGGCCAAGACAGGTGGATCACCTGAGGTCAGGAGTTTGAAACCAGTCTGGCCAACATGGCAAAACCTCATCTCTACTAAAAATACAAAAATTAGGCAGGCATGGTGGTGGGCACCTGTAATCCCAGCTACTTGGGAGGCTGAGGCAGGAAAATCGCTTGAACCTGAGAGGCAGAGGTTGCAGTGAGCCAAGATCGCACCATTGCATTCTAGCCTGGGCAACAAGAGTGAAACTCTGTTTAAAA